TTTCTCTTTTAGACAAGGTGCAAAAACGAATTGTAAACATAGTTGGACCTGCTCTTGCAGCCAATCTCCAACCTTTGTCACATCGTCGTAATGTTGCTTCTCTTTCTCTTTTCTACAAATACTATAATGGGCACTGCTCTAAAGAGCTAGCGTCCCTTGTGCCATCTACTAAAATTCATTCTCGTGTTACTCGCCATTCAATTAAGTCTCATCCTTTTTCTGTGACTGTTCCTAAGTGCTTCAAAAACTCTTATTCTTCTAGTTTTTTTCCTCGAACATCAGTTCTTTGGAATTCGCTTCCTTCATCTTGCTTTCCTGATTCATATAATTTGCAATCTTTTAAGTCATCAGTCAATCGTTATCTTGCTCTACAGATTTAGTCTTTTCTCTTCCAGTAACTTCCAACTCTTATAGTGGTTGCTTGCAGCCTTGTTGGAAGTGAAGATGTTAAAAAAAAAAAAAAAAAAAAAAATATATACATATATATATATATATATATATATATATATATATATATATATATATATATATATATATATATATATATATATATATATATATATATATATATATATATATATATATATATATATATATATATATATACAGGCCCGCCGCTACCCTTTATGACGCCCGGGGTCAAAACTTATCTAGCGCCCTGTCATATTGATCTAATTCAAAAATGTTTAGGTATTGTCCAAATACTGGCTTTTTTTATTTTTTTTAACTAAATTCACTTTTAAAGGCCGAGGGAGTAAATACAGTCAAGGAGGCTTCTAAATAGTTTTATAAAAATAAAAATAAATTTGAAATAAAAGTAAAAAAGAAACATAACTTGACAAGTTACTGAACTTTATTATATAAATAGTAACTATGAGTTTTAAATGTAATAGATATTTTAATTGCTTCATGTGAATTTGACTCTACGGGCATAATTTAAACCAAAATTTGGAATGACTTTTTGCAAGATCGTATTCAATAGATATAACTAAGACATTGGTAAGCCGGTCTTGACTTATTGTAGATCTTAATTTTATCTAGACCAAGCTTACTGAAAGATCTCTCTTTCAGCAATGGAAACGAGAATCGTGTTAAAAATACGTAACAAAATGCTTATTGATTCGAAGATAGACTCTAGACCTTTTTAATAGATTCCATTTAATAGCTTCATTAAAGTGAGATACTCTTTTTGACAGAAAAACTTGGCGTGCTTCAGAATATCCAGATGATGGACCTCTAAAATTAGTTTGTCTTCATTTACATTGTTCACATTGATTTGCGCTAAAGTTTTACATTTCTCCTCCAGGCTAGGTGGTTCAATTTTCTTCACTCGACCTACTACTATTCGATTCCAAGAACCATAGGGAGGAGATACTGTTTGTCTTTTTTTCTGCAGCTCTCTTATTTGATGGATTAAAGTATCGAGAGCGGTGTTCTTCAGCCGTTTTTCAAAACGTCTTAAAGTAAAGAAAATCAAAATTTACTTTTTTAGAAAATAAGCTTATTTAGGTGCCTGCAAAAGTTATTGAATAATTGTTTTTAAAGAACTTTGAAAAAGTTCATACAAATTATAATTTTCAATAAACGTTTTACAAAAACTTTCTTGTATTATTATTTTTTAATGCGTTTTTCTCGAAACACGTAAAAAGCATCTAAAGGCGTTTTGAAAAACGGGTACAGTGTTAAATATGTTCACCTCAAACTACTTTTCATCGTTTTCGTAGAAATGAACTTCATTCCTTGGTATTCCTCTTCCTTGTCCTTTTTTAAATTAACTTTGACTAAAACCCATAACTAGCTAGACCGGAGGTAACCAAATGTCCTTTATTAATTAATTCGGGCCAAGAATATCTAAATTCATAAGATTCTCGGTAGGAACCCTCATAAGCTTCATCTCTTCATCTAAAGTAATGTTTCCTGATTGAAATGACACTCTGAAAATTGCCTAGCGCGCTTCGAACCAGAAGGTTGTCATGATAATAAACTCAAATGAATAAATCCATTTCTCCAAAGATTTTACTTCATTCAACAGATCAGCAGTTAAATCAAGCTCCTGAAGTTTCTGCAAAGAAAAAATAATTTCTCTATGTTGCTTAACCTACGGCTTCAAAGTCTCAATCCGTGCACTCCATCGGGTTTGTGAGATTTAATGAAAAGACAAACCATCTGTCTTGGTCAAGATTTCACATTGTATAGGGCTTCCACTAAAAAGATTGTAGAGTAACTGAATCCTGCCACAATAGTTCTTCATTTCTACAGAAGAGTCAAGGGAATGAACACCAGCTAGGTTAATGTTATGAGCGCTGCATAGCATGTAGAAAGCTTCAGGATTTCTCTGAAGGATGATCGCTTTTACTCCTTTGTACCTACCAGACATGTTAGCACCGTTGTTGTACCCTTGACCTCGACAGATCTTCAGATTGATGTCATTTTGATCCTAGAAATCCATAATTATCTTGGCAATATCCACAAATTTCTTTTGTTTAAGATTTTCGACCTTAAGAAAGCGCTAATTAACTACCTGTCTTTTATCTATACCATTGTAGAGAAATCGGAGAACAAATGCAATTTGCTCAGTATAAGAAACGTCGGGCGTTACGTCGACAAGAATAAAATAGTAAATTAATATATGTGCATCTTTAATGATGGCACCGTGGACGATTCTTCCGCACTTTTTTATAAATTCATTTTAGGAACTCCAAACAAAAAAATGCACAATAATTTGTTTACCTTCATGTTGACACAAGGAAACTTCTTTCTGATGTAACTAAAAGGTCTTGTTGTGTTTTGCAAGAAGCTCTATAGTTACAAGAAAATTACCGTTATCGCCATCATTGATAATTTTTGAAGAGTTTAAAACGACTCTTCAAAAATGATCTATATATATATATATACATATATATATATATATATATATATATATATATATATATATATATATATATATATATATATATATATATATATATATATATATATATATATATATATATATATATATATATATATATATATATATATATATATATATATATATATATTTATTTGATTATATATGTTCTTTTTTAACCTAGCAGCCCTTAAAAGTATTTTCCCGCAGCGGTTTGAGTTAACAGTTTATTTTTACGTTACGAGTTTAAAGAGTTTTTCATTAAAGTCCAGTGTATCTATTTTATAATGAAATAAAAAAAAAGTTTTCATTTTTGCGCCCCTTCTGATCCTGCGCCCAGGTAAAAAGTACCCAGTGACCCTCCCCACGCGGCGGCCCTGTATATATATATATATATATATATATATATATATATATATATATATATATATATATATATATATATATATATATATATATATATATATATATATATATATATATATATATATATATATATATATATATATATATATATATATTTATATATATAATTGATGCAGGCACTCTGTATGCAACTTGCAATGATCAAAATCCGCCCTCTAATAAGGTATTTTTAAGTTTTTCTTCATGTATATACATCAAATGACAAACGTAGTTTGCTCAGGATGGCATTAAGAGTGGCATCAACCATAGCTAAAAAGCACTTCGCAGACGTACATTCTTCTACAATTTGCCTCCAAACCTCCGCTGCACAAAGGCCACTGAGTTTAACATTTTTTATGGACTTTTAAATTTTCATGCTCAAAATTTTGACTGATAAGATTTTTCCACTTCTTTTCATATCCCCATCCTCCAATCATCTTAATGGATGAAGTCAAGTCTGAAACTTGATTTCCAGGTGAAAATAATCGATATGTAAATCAAAATACTGTTGTTTTTACTGAGCTAAATACAAGCAAATCTCGTAAAAACGATTTCAACTTTATCATTTTGCTTTTCAAAACAGACATTGGAAATATGTGATTTTTAGTACATTATGGCATATCTAGTAAAGAAGGAATGTGACCAGCCCTGAAAAGTTACCGATGTTAAATGGTTGCAAAAGTCTAGTCCATTAGCGTTAGTTAATCTTGTTGAAGTTAAACCATTATCACCACTTTAATTATCTTCGAAAATGGCTGGTATATCTTTTCTGAAAATGTCAACATTATTACCATTAATAAATATTGGATGCTAAAGTCAACTTTTGCTGCGCTGACCAAGTGCTGCTAAGCTATAAGTATAATTATATTAAGTTTTGGATAATGACAAAAAATTTTAAAAATGCATTCTCGCTTTTTACGCATTTAAGTTATATACTTGTTTTCACATTAAAAAAATGTAACTAGTAATATTAAGTTGAAAAGTGTAATGATTGTGTATATGTAAGGATTAATGGCACTGACTCTACCATTGGTTATCTTGAATTCTTACTTTTTTTTTTTTTTTTTTTTCTGCGGGCGGGGAGGAACTTTTATATAACTTTTATCATTTGAATACTAAGACGCGATGTTTTGTAATTTAAAATAAATTAATATTCAACTGAAAAATAGAATTTAAAAATGAGTTTTATTAATAAGAAAATTAAAAAATTAAAAAAAGTTATACAGACCTCTCCATATTTTAATATGATAAAAGATACCCAAACCAACGCAAACAAAAGCAATAATATTTGCGGAATCATTAGTGCAACTATAGTCCACCAGATATCTAAACACTGCAACAAATGAATTTTTAATAATAATCCAAATTAGTTTGCTATTTGTTAATAGTTTATTGATTTATAACTATAATTTTATATAAGATATTACAACTCAAAAATAATTGAAATAAATCAAGAAAAAAAGTTGACGAATGTTAAAAAAACAAATAGGCATAAAACTAAATAACACATACATAAAAATATCTAATAATAGATAATTTTGAAAAAATATTATCTATGTGGTATCTTTCTATATACAAAATGTTTTTTAAATACTAAGTAGATTTAATATTAGAAGCTTTTTAAACCTTGTGTTAAACGACTATAGCTTATTCAGTAGTATTTATAATGTTTACATAAATATAAATTAAAACAATAAAATGTCAATCAAGCCAACAGTGTTCCAAAGCACTTTAAAGTGCTTTGGAACACTGTTGGCTTTTAGTACAAATAAAGACAAACCAGTTTAATTTAATAAACTATTACATGTTTAGGCATAATTATAAATGCGTAATAATGAAATAAACATAGAAAGGCTTTTTTCTTAAGTTTTGTGGGAAGAAAACATTTATTGCTATTTTTTTTCCTTTTAAAAACATTGAAGTAAAGTTGACTTTTTGTAAAGTTGAATTGATGTCCTATTGTGGGCACAATACATTTTCATTTGAATTACAATAAAAAGAAAAAAAGAAAATTTATCATTTTTTTCTTTTTTAACAAAATAGATTTTAACAAAATATTGTCAAAATTTATATTAAAATTCAGTGATCAAAAAAAAAAAAATTCATTCAAAATTTGATGAAAAGGTGCTATACAAAGCCCTAGTGCGATGACGAATATAAAGATACACTCACAGCAGTCGAAGCAGCAGTTATGTCTCTAATAGCTATTTTTTTATGCAGCCGTTGAAAATGTTGCACTTATGCAGTCTTTAAAGCGTTTACTGTTGCTTGCAAAAGCGCATTATATGGGATAACAATTTTATTTGAAAAAAAAAATTATTTTGTTCAAAATTTCATACTTGTTGGTGTTCTAGTTTAAGGTTATTTAATCGTAAGATTTATTTAATTTTTTCGATTGAAATGTTTTTGAGGGACAAAGAAGTCATAAAGTTTCAATAAGTGCATTATTTTGTATGGCTCGATAAGGTCAACTTTTTCGCAATTTTTTTCAAGTATTAGGCCACAAAGAGCAATGGATCCAAGACCAATTCTTGCAGCACGCAACTAGTCCCTGCTTTGCATTTAAATGTAATATCATTGATGAATATTATTTATTGCCTTTGGTAGTATCCAATCTTAGATTCAGTATAAAGCTCGTCTTAATTGCCTTGAAAATAGAAAGATTTAAAAAAGTTGTTTAGTCTTTATAGTGAACAAAACCATGTTGCGTTTGAGTGATTAAATGTTTGAGTGGTAAATGTTTCTTATCATTTTGCACATTAATGACCTTGGCAAACAGGCCGGTAGTTTGATACACATAGATTACTGCCCTTCTTGAAATTTGGCGACACATTCAATTTTGCCCACAAACCAGAAACTGCACCAGTAGCAAGCAAACACTTGTAGATTAGTGAAAGAGGTTTGGTAAATGCATGGCATTTAACAAAGAAGTGGGCATATGAGACGCCTTAACATATTAATTTTGTTTCATTAAGGTAAAATACATTTTTGTACAATGTTGATAGAAAAATTGCTAGATTGTTGTCATAAACTGCCTGAGTACAACATTTAAATACTGGCATTAAAATTTCGGGCTTTAAAACAAATATTGATGGAAAATAGTCATTCAACAATGAGCATATTTCTCTATCGGTGGTGATATTGCTATCTGCAGTTCATAGCAATAAAATGGTTTTCTTGACGCTTTGTTTGATTCACAGATGCGCACGTAAGTGTTTAGAGTCACTGAATTCCGAACAACTTGCTTTTTGTACAAGTGCCTGAAAAATCTGATCTTTTTGCTCTTGTTTTTGCAAGCAGCGCAATGTGGTATTTTAAATAATTCGTGTGTTTTACAACCTATTCTTAAGATCCAGCACTTAGCCCTAGAAGCGTGCTTAGCTTTTGCTACAATAAATTTAATGTGAACCCTTTGATTCCCTTTTCAGTGAATAGAGTTCACTGGCTTCATTGTACATGTTAACTAGAAGCTGGAATTAATTGTTTGCATTTTGACCGTTACACAATGTTTTTCAATCAACAGCTGCGATGTGCACTTGTATTACTGCGTAGTTTGTTTGGATCGAATAAATCAAGTTCATAGGCGATGTAAAGAAGTTGAGGTCTGCAAGAGAGCACGGTATGCCATACATTTTATGATCAGGTCGAGTATACTTATACGCTCAACGTATCAATTACTACGGTATATTGGGAATGTGATAAGCTGAGTAAGATAACATATTAACACTTCTGGTACCTGAGTTCACATTACACTTTTCTTTGACGTAAGCTTAAGATTTATGGATAAAATTAAAGTTAATGTATTGTAGCATGGCAAAGCAGTTCGGATTAGGCGAAATCAGAACAACTTTATACTGATTATTAAAATCGCGTTATTGATAAAGGCAGCCGAGGTGAAACAATTCGTAACTAAATTTTATTTTCAGCCAGATTTGCTTAATTAGTATTAAATTTAGCTGAACAGCATTACTTTCAATGGCTATTATACCATCTCTTGTGTAAATAGCGTATCTATGCTCAATAGAAAATATGCTATGAAGTGGCTTTTTGCATGGTCCCTACCTTCGCGGTTTGGCTTGTAGCCGAGTATTGCAGCGTCTTATAAATTTGTTTACTCCAAATAGATTTATAGTATTTTTGAATACAAGATCTTTAACTTATAATGTTTAAATAGAATAAAGAAAGCAATAATTCTTATTTATTATTATTTACTTTTGCCGTAGAATAATATTTACAATAAATTAAATATTGATAATAATAAAAAGAAGAGGACATAAACTGTTTTGTCACCAAACTTTATTTATATTAAAATATTATCAGTTTATATACAAGAATTTAAAGTAGCTAACTAGATAATCAAAACTTTAAACTCTTTTATTTATAAGTGTTGAAATATAACGCAATATACTAAAGATTAACAACAATTTAAGAATATTGTAGCTTTTCAGGAAAAAGTAAATTAGTTTTAATAAAAGTTGTAACAAAATAGAAGTAGTGTCAGTTACTATTTTTTAGATTACTTATATTATTTCTGTACGTATTTAAAAAAAGATATTTTAAATCAAAGTCTTTTTGTAATAAAAGACTTTTAGATTTTTTCCTGAATTGTCCCAAAATATTTTTGAAATATTTTTCCGCAAAAAAGGTCTAAGGCATTGAATTTGGTAGAAGCTTAGTTTTAAACAAGTTTTTGAAACAAAAAAATTATTTATTGAAAATTAAGTAATATATTGGAGCAAAATATCACTAAAGTAAGACTATAATAAGACAATAGGAAAAAATCTATGTTTTATTTTAAACATGAATTATATAAACTGGTCTATATTAACTTTATAAACACTTTATAAAACTTCTATATATTAAATTTATAAAATTTCTCTATATTAATCAAAATTGTTAGTAGCGCAGCTACTTTATGTAGGGCATTCAGTCTGTCTGTCTGTCTGTCTTTCAGCTATCCATCTGTCCGTCCATCAGAGTAAGTTATTGCATTCTAATGTTATGCCTTTTGATTTTAGGAAGTGGTTTATTTCTAAACCAGATGAAGAGCTAGCTACCATTATTGAAAAAAAGCCTAGAAAGGTATAAGAGGCAAAAGCATTTGAAAATGAAGTACCTAGAAAAGAAACAAGCTGAAGAAAGATGTAAATCAGCTCCCCCACCACTTGATAAAAGTGATGAAAACTTGAAGCCAGCTAAAAAAGGGTAAATTAAGTGTCATAAAACTGTTAAAAAACATTCTTCTTAAAAATAAAATTCTAACTTATTTTTGTAAATGGTCTAGCCAGTTTGGATATGGATATGTTTGACAGATCAAGAAGACTCATTCGAAGGTAGTGATAATGACTTTGAATATGATGCTGCTCAAGTAAAAACCCCAAAATTCTCACCTAAAGGCTCAATGCAAGTAAATAAAAAGATCACAAGAGAAGAACTGATGGCAGTAACTACACCTATTTGTGCTAGAGGGTTAATCAGCATTGAAATACAAACCTGGCTGTTGTAGTCTTTTGTTAATTACCTGGGAGGAGATGTTAATCAGATGGGCATTTCTAAATCCAGTATTTCACAAAAAAAGAACAAAAGTAATTGAAAATCAATGTAATTTTTAAAGGGACAAGGAATATTACACCTAAGGAAAAAGTCTTTTATGCCAACTTTTTGCCAGTCAAAATTAAGTTTTTTTTTCAAATCAAAAGTTTTTTCTTCTTATGTAAATTTATTATAAATGAAAGTTATGATACAAGATCCTACTATACCTTTAAAGAGTGGTATATTTACCTAAAAATAAACTATCATAACAATAATATATTGTATTAAAAAACTTTATTTACTATTTTGGTAATACAATGAGAGAAAATTTTAGAGAGATAATGGCTGGAAAACACCTTCTTGTCCACTTTGATGGAAAGCTGTTAAAACATTTAGATGAAAATACCTTGCAATCTGTTGTAAGAGATAGAGTTGCTGTCAGTGTTACCAGCCCTGATTTTGAAAATAAAAACGATCTCTTTCTTGGTGTTTTACCTGTAAAGTCTGGCAAAGCTGTTGATGAAACAGAAATTATTCACAACTTATCTGAGTCCTTTGAAATATGCAATGAAATTTTTGCAATTAATACAGATACTACCAATGTTACTACAGGAGCCCATGCAGGAATTCTAACCAGATTGTGCTATATTTTGGGAAAACCTGTTCTCTGGCTGTTATGCAGACATCACATGTTTGAAATAGAAATATATAGGGCAATTTTAATTGTCATTGGAGTTACTGCTGCACCACAACAATAGTTCTTTAAAGATTTCAAGAAGGACAGGAAAGTTATAGTTCAAAAAGTTGACTTGTCTGAGTTTAAGAAATTTGATGAGAAGAAGCTGGAAGTTGGATCTGAACTTCATAAGCTTTACCTGGATGCTTAGGAATATCTGAAGTTTGCTCTTAATCACAAAGTGTTTTAAAGAGATGATTTCAATCATCTAGTAAAGTATGCTGCATTTTATTTAAATGTCTCATCACCAAAGCTGAATGATTTAACATTTTATTAACCAGGAGCCAATCACAATACTTGTTTCATGGCTGACAGTCTTTACAATTTAGCTATTGTTATGACACCAGGTATAATAGATTAGTTACCCCACCTGAAAAATTCAGCTTTTATATGTGCAGTTTTTAATGCTCCTTGGTATTTACATTCATACAAAGCAGAATATACTGTTAAGAATGATCAGCTTATGTTATACAATAAGAGTTTGATGTCAAAATTGGAAATGCATTTCTGAAATTTTTTCAGCAGTACTCTTATATATATATATATATATATATACATATATATATATATATATATATATATATATATATATATATATATATATATATATATATATATATATATATATATATATATATATATATATGTATATATATATATATATATATATATATATATATATATATATATATATATATATATATATATATATATATATATATATATATATATATATATATATAGTATATATATATATATATATATATATATATATATATATATATATATATATATATATATATATATATATATATATATATATATATTATATATTACTCAATCAAAAAGTTTTAAAAATATTGGACGAAGTTTGACGGATCTTTAGTTAATTAGTGTATATGAATCTTCGATTTATAGAAATGGTATAAATTTAGCTATTTTAAGCTTATCCGGTACAGATCTAGTAACAATCAACCATTTAATAATTTCTAAAATAGGATTTTTATTCAACAAAAACACATTCACAATTACATTATGAATGTGTTTTTGTTGGTTTATTGATTTTCTTGTAATATCTTTATAGTTTAGTTCGTTAAACATTTAGCTACTATGTTGCTTTTAATGTCTCAAAAGAGTTATCCAGACGTTGAATTTTAGAAGCAATCTTAGTCCCAATGTTTGCAAAAAAGCTTTTAAAAATTCTGCAATTGAGGTTTATTGTTATACTTTGTTCCATTAACGCTGATTCTTTCAAGTGAACTATTTGATTTGTATATAGTTTTTACTAATAATTTCTTTCAATATATTTGAGGTATTATTTTTAATGCATGTTTATATTCTTTATAATATAATGAGTACAAACATATATTTGAAAAAAACCTAAAAAAAATCTACTCTATTAAACAACTTCAAAAACTAATGACGATAATAAACAAACCTGGAACATATTGAAAGAAATAATTAGTAAAAACTATACAAAATTAAATAGTTACCCTGGTAGAAGTATCGTTATATTTTATATATTTGTTTTATATTATATAGAGCGGTTCTTTTTATTTATTTATTTTTTAATATTTAATTTAGAGCTTTTACATTATTTTTTTTTTTATGAAGTTCTTATTCCTTTGGGGTCAATCGGCATTTAATTTTTTATTCTTTTTCTTTTAATGGGAAGTGTTTATTGTAATATTTAAGAAAAAATATATTAAAGTACTGTATGCAGTGTTTGTATATCCAAGTTTACATTCTTGATATACCTTATCCCATTCTACGGCCAAAAACAAGTTTTTGAAAGTTTGAACAGAAGATTAGTTGACTTTTCTTTTATAGTTTTTGCATCTTGTATGAATAAAAAATAGATCGGAAAATGGTCCGATATATCTTATTAACTCCTGCTTTTAAGAAAGTTTTTAAATATAAATTTGTCAAAATATCATCAAAGACAGAGGCAGATATATATTTTTTACATTGCAATATTTTTTCTCTGCTTTTTTTTTTCTTGAAAACTCAATCTAATTTTAACGTCGTTTACATCCTTTTCAATATTTCTTTTTTTTTTTAATTTCTTGCTTCATCTTGTCGAATTTATCTGATAAAATTTTGAGGCTTCCACTTATTATACTAGTAAAAGGATTCTCTTGTTTTTTCAATAGGATTTCTGTTTCTTTAATAACGCTTTTTCTGCGTTCTTCTAGCTTATAGGCTATTTTTTATCTTACTCAATTTAACGAGTAAGATGTTCCTTTTTTTGAAGTTTAAACCTATTTTTTTAATGACTGAGGCAAGTAAAAGTCAATGCTTCCCGTTTTACTGCGTCCTATAAGCTGTTACATTTTTTTTCTCGCAAGCGTGTCGTAAAATTATTCAAAGGTAAAAATAGAAGGCAATTGCATATTTACCTTCATTCAACAAATTATATACAAGTATTATTAAGATTAAATAATGTTTTTGTTCAACCATTGGTCTATTGATTTGTTTCTATTAAAGTTTCTGTTTATAACTAGGTTTTAAATTTAAAATGTTTTTTTATAACTAGGTTTTAAAATTAAAATGTTTTTTTATAACTAGGTTTTTAAATTTTATGTGCAGAAAACTTTTAATTTAAAATTACTGCCTTGATTATTTTTTAATCTATTTGTCCGTTATTCAATACGTCTTAAAGTAAAAAAAAAGTAAAATTTTTTTACAAAAGTAGCTAATGTGAGATGCCTAGAACGTTATCAAATAAATATTTTCGAACAATTATGAAAAAATTATTTCATTTTCGTTTTTTTATTTACGTTAAAAGCATTTAAGGCTTTTTGAAAAACGGTATTCTATTGGTAAAAGTATTTTTCAAGAAAACAAAGAGTAGGATAAAAAAAAATCATCAAGAAAATACTTTATTTTTAGTATGCATTCCTTAACATGTTTCAATCGTATTTTAATTTTAATCAAGAATCAACTGGTAAATAGAATTTATTATAAACATTTATTAGTAAAAAAAAAAACGAAAATTCAAGATAAAGTTATTATACATACCGTTACATATCGCACATATGAAACTGATTATACCCACACAAACAATAAAACCAATAACATTTTTGATGGAATCAATAGTGAAAAGAAAGTTTAAAAAAATCATCGACCCTGTAACAAGAGAATTTATAATAAAAGAAATCAATTCAATTTGTTGTTCATTGTTAAATATTTAAGTTAATATTGTCATCTTATATAAAACAAAAGCTTTAAATGAGTTTTCAAAACTTATCAACAAAAATAAGTTAGTTACACTATCAAATAGACTTGATAGTGTAACTAACTTATTTTTGGATATACATCACATGAATCACTTGTTTTGAATCTCATGATTCAAAACAAGTTGAACTTATGTGATGTATATCCAAAATACTTTTTGAATTCTAAGCGTTTTTAAAATAAAGTCTTTATATATTTTTTTAAAATGCATATAGATTTTATATATTTTAAATGCACAAATTACATCTTAATAATGTCAAACTTAATTATAATGGTAAAATTAATACAAATTAAAACAATAAAATGTCAAGGAAGCCAACCAAAGTTTAGAGCACTTTTAATTTTAAGTACACTTTTGAACAATTGGACACAGCAGTCAAAAATCACAAAATTTTATAATTTTTTTTATATAGTTGGGATAAGAAAAAAAGTGCGTATTTGGGCATTAATAGGAATGCCAGATAATAAAACAACTATTATAAAACTTGCTAAAAATTTTCATTAATTTTTTCAAGTTTTGAGTTTAAAAACTTAGTTTTTTTTCTTTTTAAGCAAAGCAATTTAAAGGAGAAAAAAAATAGTCTAAAAAAAATGTATTGATAAAATGGCGACTTAAAATTAAATAAGGGTAAAAGTTTTAATGTCAATTTTGTCAAATTTACTAATTTAGAACTTTAAATAAGTTATTAAAAAGAATAATATTAAAAATATTAAGACTAAAACTAAAGTTTACGAAATTTATAAAGAAAAAAAAATTAGTGAAAGATTTTCACAATACTTAGTTTTTAATGATTAATATAAACAAATAAAGATAGTATCTCGATAAGTAGTTTTAATGCTAAACTCAACTCTTAATTGTTTTTTATTATCTTTGCTATGGTCTACCCAATGTAGCAAAACTTTTTCTAGAAGTTCTGAAGTGTCTACATTGTGACTTGACATGTTTATCTTAACTAATTTAGTATTTTTAAATCTAAATTTTACTTAGATTCTGTTTTCAAGAGAATAAAAAAACTTCTTTTTTGTTTCTAAATCTTGGTTATTGTATTTTTTATTACATTATATTTTAGGCAAACTTTGACTTATGGATACCATCTAAAACTTTACTATTTTTGTATTCATAAGTAAGAGATTGTTTGGAAGTAAGAAATTACCGGTTTCCTGAACTTATTGTATTGGATTTTTGCTATTGCCCAAGCTTTGACTCTGTAAATTTTTAAAAATCTTGCTGCTTTTTTAAATAACTAAATAATGTTAAAAATGCTGAAAAAATTGATGAATGAAGATATTGAAAAAAAAAAGATTTTTTAGAAATATGAAATCCCGTGAAAATATTGTCTTTAAGAATAATCTCCATTAGAAATTTTGCCATGAACTGGTTGCTAAAGAACATTTAAGTATACATAAAAAATCTATTCTTAAAACTTTTATTAAACTAAATATGCTTATTTCAGAATTTTTCACTAGTAAAGTATAATTGATTTTGCAGCAATGCAGACTTTAATGGAAGCAATACAAAGAGAAAATTGAACCAATGAAATCTGGTTTTAATACATGCAATAAAAGAGTTTGTACAGAATTTATAGAAGATTCGATCTTAATTTGTTTAGCTAGTGAACAAAAAAGCATTTAATTGTTTAAGAAATTGTTTTTGGAAAAGCAGAAAGAATATTTAGCTGTTTGAACTTTTTATTTATTAGATACACCTCTACAATAATAAAATATTGTCTAAACTTTGCTAAAAAGTTATCATCTGCTTAAAAAAAATAAAAATATGGTTTCCAGAGAGGTGTAGAAAATATAAATTATTGAATCCTTAAATCTTTATGAGTTTACAAAAACTATTTATGACATACTAGAGAGCTTATTGATTTTGTTGATTTGAGAGATAAAAGATAAGTATTTCCCTATTAAAGAATGTTATAGAATAAACTACTCATATAATAAAGCTCCTTTGAGGGGCATTGTTGATTCTTTATCTTTTAGTTTAGCTATTTTTGCAAATACTGGAGTTACATCAACTCAGCTAATGTCTATATTAGGGAAAATGAGTGTTACAATGAAAGGATCAATCTAATGGTTATTAAAGCATAGCTGATAATACCTCTATAGACAGATACGTTTTCAGAACAAACTAGAAGTTGGATATGAATTTATGTTAACGATTAAGTCAACAAAGCACAGAACATTTACTCCAATAAAAAGCATTTCTTTTCTTTTCTTATGCCCACATTTGATTAAAATTGCTAAAAATATTCTAGCTGTGAACATGACACTTTTTCTAAATGTAAAAGAAGTGTCTACACATACATAAAAGTCATTTTTCACAACTTTACTTATAAAATTTAAAAAATATGTCTAAATATTAATAAATAAATACACAACTTTATTAACATATATATTTCGTAAATATTTTTCAAATAAAGTTAATTTGGTATTATTATTATTTGTATGAAAATATTGAAAAAGATAAGGAAAATCCTCCAATGGAGACTTAAGATGATGCTGTCTATTTGACATGATAATAAAGTAATAATTCATATTTGTCAAAGTATAAATTTTTAAATCTCTAAATTTCAATATGCCACTGTAGCAGAATGAACATAGAAATTAAGTTGCTATAAAACATAAACAAAACCTTTATAACACGCACTCTTTACTTAACACATAAACAAAACCTTTACAATGCGAACTTTTTTTAACTAATTCACAGAATTTTTCTGCACTATAAAATAATTGTAATAAACACATAAAATAACTGTTTTTGATTTTAAAACAATTAAAAAATTAATACCTTTACTTGACATTCCACGTTGGTTTTGGAGGAGTCGAAACTAATCGTTAAAATAGTTAAGGAACAATTTTATTTTTTTTAACTTAATAAATTAAAAATTATAAAAATGTATAATATATAGATAATATGTGATTTGACTAGTCATAAATATATATATAAACACACACACACACACACACACACACACACACACACACATACACCACCCAGTAAATAAACTAACATTGGAACAACTTTAAATGACGTTAGCATTTAGGTTATAACAAAGTTGGATTAACGTTGGAAATGGAAAGAATGGATACCGTGAGATTTTCCAATAATCATTAAAGTTATAATTTTGATATAAAAGCAAGGTATTTTTGATATAAAAGCAAGGTATTTTTGATATAAAAGCAAGGTATTTTTGATATAAAAGCAAGGTATTTTTGATATAAAAGCAAGGTATTTTTGATATAAAAGCAAGGTATTTTTGATATAAAAGCAAGGTATTTTTTATGATCACACGCTGCATAGTACATCGCGCTCTCCGATACCCCAGTGGGCTCACAACATCAATCCAATGTTAAGTTTATGTTGTAAATAAGTCTGCAATGTCGAGCACCAAAATCCAACGTTTCAATAACGCCAACTTTTTTACATCAGAGTTTCGTCGTCGTATTAACATCGCACAAACGTTGGTTGCACTAACGTTGGATCACACCCGTTGGATACACTAACATTTTTAATGAAGTTAATGTTTTATGTATATAAGTTGATTTTATATGTTATAATATAATATCAACATAAATTTTTTTAATGATATTCAGTGTACTATATGAAAAGTGTATATATTTTTCTAGTTCTATGATCTACAAAATCCTTATTTTTTTGATATAGTTTATTTTTTATTATCCTTAAATTATTAAGTTTTTAGTAAATTTCAAAAAGTTCAAAAATGTCTTTATTTTTCTTTTAATTTCTTTCAATCGTCTTTAGGACCATTCATTTTTGCAAGGTGTGAAATACACGGTGCGAAATACGCGGCAGGTAGTTTCGTGCTGATTCATCTGCATTTTCTAACAACACAACTTTATGGCTTAATTTTTAAACTGAGAAAAAGTTTTACAAGCTTTTTTTTTTGTGCAGCTAAAAGAAATGAAATTATTTTTGTCATTGATTTCAGTTTTTTTTTCTTTTGTTTCACCATATTATTTGACTTTACCAAGCGTCCACTCGCCAGCCAATTATAGTTCCTAAGGTTTTTCTACACCTAAATAATTAACAGCCAAAACAATTAATTGAAACTTTTAACCGTCAAGTGTCTTTATTTTTCCTTCCATTATATATCAGACCAGCAATCTTGAAAAAATGTGTGGTCGAATTGCAGTAGAAGAGGGTTAGCAAAAATAGGGCCGAGCTCAGAAAAAAATGATATAAAGCTGAAATTTTGCATTGATTAATATACGGGTCTTTTTTGACAGCACCAAATATCATAAACTATATATTGTTGAATAGATAATTTTCTGCTGATTAATATTTAAAATTTTTAATGGAAAATGATTATTTTTTAAGTTATTTACGTTTGAAAAGTGTTAAAGTGTCAAAATCAATACTTTTTTTTTTCAAAACATAACAATATATATTGTCTGTGCGTAACTTTAAATGAGTAAAAAAGTGAAAAGAAATTTATTTTTTCAAAATAACTTTGATACTTGAATGTAAATCTCTTTAAAACTAAATGATCGGACATTTTTCTCAATACAAATACGTATCTTACTTTTCTCAATACAAATCATCAATTAAATCTCTCTTGTTTTCGATTTTCATTACTTAAATGTTCTTCAATTTTACAATCCTTAAAATGTAATAAAAGTTATCACAATTTTAAACGAATGATATATTTTAAGAAGATTATGTGCATATAAAATATTTAAAAAACAAAATTTTATGTTTAATGACTGCAATCTTGCCCGTGAAAACAAAATGAATTTTAAGACCATGAAAATAAGCAGTATGATCGATGAATAAAATCACCACGTGGGTGTTAACTTTCCGGTCTGATAATTCATTCACGTTTATTTATATCTTAAAAAATATCTAAGAAACAATACTATAAATAATATGACATTTTCTCAACCTAAATTTAAATTTTCTCAACTTAAATGAATGACTTAAACTCAAAAAATTCAAAATAAACGTTCAAATACCAACCATATTTTCCTTAAAGAAGATTCTACATTTTTACCAAACGCTCGTATGAGTAAAAAACTTAATTATTTTTTCTTATGAAAAGATTTTTTCAGAAGAACCTTTGCATTTTTTTCTTCTGCTGTGTACATAAGATTTAGTTAAAGACCCAAACAATCAAAACAATCAAATATTAAATAATTGGTAGCATAATTTTTCTTATATAGCTGATGGTCTCAGCGATTTTTTTAAACCTCATACCTTTGTTCCAAAGAACTCGGTGCAGTAAGGAACCTTTGTCAACTAAAATATCTAAAATAAAACTCATTTGTGCACACTTGAGTAACATATACCCTAATAGGGCTCTTGCAATAGCTTTTCTTTTAAAAATAAGTTTTACAGTATCTTCAGAGTTTACTTGCTCTAAAACCTCTTTCAGACCAGTCCTGTCATTAGTTATCTAATGCTTCCAAGAAAGCTTATCATTGTGTGAAGTTTTTCGACTCAAAATATTGTATTGAGGTTTAAATCTTTTATAGCATCAAGCACTTTCTGCCATAAAGGCTGATCAAACGTAACGCAGGCAGTAATTATTTTATAACTATTGGCTTCATCAATAGCGAACAACAGTGTAGAAAATATATATGTTTCATCTGAAGATTTTTAGTCAATACTAGATAAATTTTGGTAAATGTTTTTTTTTAAGCTGCAGTTGATTGGGATGCAGTCTGAATCATATTACCCAACCAGTTTGAGTGAGGATTTTTTTTTAACTATAAAACCATGCCACATGCCAAATAAGATCAAGGTTCATTTTTGGCGCACGAAATACTTCTGAACAATATTCTTTAATTGATTTAAAATTTACACTTAATATACCGCAATAACTTGATCCGTGATTAGGCATTATTTTTAATGATACATCAGATAAATTTTTAATGGAGTGTTTCAAATGTGTTATGCTTCATCATTAAGAACATATTGATTTTAAATTCATTTGGTTAAATGTTTCTTTTCCGGTCAATGTGCGAATGTTGTGATCTACATTATCAACACCCAGTATAGAATTTTCGGCTCTTGTTCTTGCGCGGCATTTACTCTACTAACTGCAGCAAATAACTTAAACAACTACGTCGAAGGATATTGAAAATTTAAGTTTATAAAGGTGATCCGCAAGCCTTTTTGTTTCAAAAGATGTATTAATATCTCACTATACCTATTAGATGGCTTTTTCCGCAACAAGATCATAACAAGATATCAAACGACAATGTACAGCATTTCCCAATGATCCTCCATATTCTAAGTATGGTCATCATTTTGTTAATCAATAGTATGATCTCAAATTTAGCAATTGGTGAAAGTTTATGATCTACTTTTTTAGTACAAAGAAAATATTTTCTTTGTACTAAAAAATATACGTCGGAGGATATTGAAAATCTAAGTTTATAAAGGTGATCCGCAAGCCTTTTTGTTTCAAAAGATGTATTAATATCTCCTACAATTCCAAACGGAATTGGTACTGTCATAGGTCATGGTCGCGAAGCTTGTTATGTTGTTAGAAGCTTGAGTAAGGCATTGATCTAAACTAACTTGTCAAAGCAGAAATTAAATGGCTTAGAAATAGCTGCAAACATTTATAAATTCAATAGCACCTATACCTATTAGTGACGGATATGTAGATTTATTTATATCCATTTATCTGATATTGCTAGTAATTATATTTGCAGCGTCAGAAATAGTATTGTTTTTAGTATTACTGATGAACACTCCTAAGTTCTTTTGTTATAATGTGCAAATTAGATCTCACTATGTTTTTCAAACATAGTGAGATCTAATGGGCGTCCGAACTGGTTACTGCTTTTAGTTTTAAACCTGAAGCCTTGTTCATACACAATATATAATCTTTTTTTTTTGGTACAGATAATCATTGGTCTTTACGACTATCCACAAACTTTCTTCTACAGCTATGATGGTCTAGGTCTGTTGTATTCTATCGCAACTGGTCTTTAAGATAACCAAAAATGTGCAAAAATAACTTATCTGGTATGTTTTCTTATCCCAATTTTTTTTAAATACAAACAATTTTAATTTTCTATTATACAACCAAACATATGATTTGTTGTTAAAACTAGTAGTTAGAAATGATTGAGCGAAACGTCACCAATAACAGTTATGTGCAAACCGAGGTTTTAACAAACTGCACAAAAAATCTACTTTGCAAGATTGCATATTCAAACAAACTTTAACCTACATAGTTCAATTATACTCTATTTTTTGCTTAATCAAATCAATGTTTTTAGACCATTTCTATATGCTTTGAAATAAATTTCTTTATTAAAACAAACTACATGAAATGTTTAATGTTTAATTTGTAAGTTTTACGTTTCAATTGGACGCAAGCTTTTTTTGTAGTAAAACTAAATTTTTCCATTCATACAAAAAAATTTTATTAAAATTTCTTGTGAAAACAAAAAAAAAAGTTTTTCACAGCAAAAAATTATCTTTTGAAAACAAAAAATCTAAAGAAGTTTTGTGCGGCTTAATTTTTTAACGCTTTTACACTTATCAAACATAAATATTTTCAAAAATAATTCAAATCATAGTTCCAATATAAACATTATTCAGCATAAAATTTACTATCCAACAATATATAGTTTATTATATTTTATCTAGACAGCAAGCTTACATTGGGCCAGTGTAAGTTTTAACATTTGCAAATTTATTCCGTTAGGCCAACATATAGCCAATATTTTCTTCGGCGTAATATTTTCATTATCTAAACCAGTTTTTTGCAAATATCGTTTTATGTTGGGCCAACATTTAGCCAACGTGTAACCAGCGTTTATACAACATTGTAATTACGGTGAAAAGTAAGTATGAACAAGGTTATATAACATTATATTTCGGGTAACAATTAACTTTGTAGTAAGCAATGTTATACCAATAATGTATTATTTCATTTTTTTTATTTCATTTCATATAATATTCTGATAAAAAATAACAATAGAGTAACCAAAATAGCCTCGAATGAATTACAACGTTGGATCAACGTCGTGTGCCCATTTAACACACATACACAAGCAGATATAAAAGTATTTGTACAAATATACTTTTGATTTATTATTATTTCATATAATATTGCTGATGTTGTCATATTGAAATAGTTTTATCTCTAATATCAAGCATTTTTAACAATTCAACTTTACCTAAACAAAGTTAAAACTTCAAGCATTTTATTAAACAACTTTATGGAGTATCATATAACAATAAAAAATATGAAGAAAAATTTTGCCTGTTACACATTTAATTTGTTTTGTTTTTTATTAATACACATAAAATATGTAGTACTAATATTAGTTTAATGCGTGTAATTTTAAAACATTTAATTTCTAGAGCTTTCACAATGGTAACCTCTAACGTTTACTATTTTATTTTTTATTGGGAATTTTTTTTTTCCCAAGTCAAGTTTTTATTTTAATTCTATTAATTGCATTTATACTGACATCAGCATTTTTTATCTAGTTGATTTTATTAATTACTATTATTTTATAAGACTTCTATTATTTACATATAAATAGATGATAGATAGATAGATAGAAAGATATATAATCTTTTTCGTCAATATTAAATTTTTTTTAAAAAAATTGTTAACGTAGCAATCTAACTGGAGCAAGCAGATGACAATGGTCTGATCATCCCCCGTTAATTTCAATTTATTTTACAATAAATATCAATTAAATGTAATGCATTGTATGGGCCGACGTAAGACCAAAAAAATTGTGCTGCTCGGGTTGAGACTATAAACACTATTGATAATCTACCTAAAAGGGCTGTTTGAGTTACTGTTAATTTAATGTTAAGGGTATGATGTCTAATCATACTGGAGTTATAACAAACAAAACCATTAGTACAAGATTTTTAATGTCTGGCAAAGGCCAATATTGGTATGACAAAGATCAGTATTAAATCTGTCTGTAATTCCATGCTACGCGCTGAAAGAGTCCTATTAATTTTTTGGATCTGAGTGTCCTTTAGAATACGTATTATTTTTGTAAAAACTTAAATCCAAACAGATCGAACATTTTTTTTATAATCACAGTGTATAAGCAATTTGTTTAATGAAAATTGATCAACAAAATGTTTCATTATAAAATTGGTTGCAAAAAATAGTTAGTCGCAGTTTTCTTAAGATATTTTACATTTCAGGTTTTGTTACTTAATTGTGCATAAGTTTATGCAGAATTATTTAATTTAATAAAAGATAATGAATAAAAAATGAATTTATAGATCTTCGCTATGATATATTAAAATCAAATGTATAAAAGGTATTAAATTTCTATGTACTTACCTATATGTCTACCAATTTAATAAAGGATTACGCATTCGACACAGTTTACAGAAAAATATATTAAAAAAAACAGTGGCAGAAGAAAAGAAATAATACAGAGAAGTAGTTACCGTTAATATGTTTTTAGGGTGCAAGTTTTTTTATACTTTCTTTTGATTTCCTAAGAGAAATCTATATGGATTTTGTCATCTCTCCGACATTGTTCGTTCGAATGTCTGCCAGCAATCCTCATTCAGTTTATGTAATGAATTAAAATGCATAAGCACCGTGCGAAATAACCAGCAGGATTAAAACCTACTTCGTAAAAGGTCATACATTTCAATGGTAATCAAATAGGGAAAATATTTTTCCTTCAAAAAGATTGTTTTGTAAAAATAGAAATTAATAGTAAAACTACATTTCTTTATTTTTCACAATAAAGATTTATTACACAATTATTTCTTTTATATATATATATACATATATATATATATATATATATATATATATATATATATATATATATATATATATATATATATATATATATATATATATATATATATATATATATATATATATATATATATATATGTATATATATATATATATATATGTATATATATATATATATATATATATATATATATATATATATATATATATATATATATATATATATATATATATATCAAGCCTCGGAATTAGTGTTAGCATTCGACCTTACTGACGACCTGAAAGTGCTTGAGGTCGGCAAAAAAATTTTTAAATTTTCAGAATTCTTTTAAAAAGATTTCTGAAAATTTAATATTATGATGACTGAACATCACTTGATAAATTTAAACAACTACTAGACAGTTTTCAGTCATCATAGTTGCTACAACTCATCATTTACCGTAAATACCACACAAAAGTGGCCGAAATACGAGTTGGGTATAGATGCGTATACTCAGCTGATGATGAGTTTAACAAGGCTGTGGCTATGTGTAACTTAAATTAACTAACTAACTTATATATATATATATATATATATATATATATATATATATATATATATATATATACATACATACATACATACATACATACATACATACATACATACATACATACATACATACATACATACATACATACATACATACATACATACATACATACATACAATTATGTACGTGTGTATATATAAATAAATATATATATATATATATATATATATATATATATATATATATATATATATATATATATATATATATATATATATATAATATATATATATATATATATATATATATATATATATATATATGTATATGTATATATATATATATATATATATATATATATATATATATATATATATATATATATATATATATATATATATGTTTATATTTATATATATACAGAAAGATTAGTCAACAAAGATTTGTCTTACCTCAAGAAAAATTAATAAAGTTAATATGAATCCAATTTAAAGATATTAACCTATTGGTTGCGTCAGATAAGTCTAGCCGTCATAAATTCTAAAAAGTAGCTATTAAAACAAACTTATATGAATATTTTATATTTGCTCACGCTGTTTTGTTTACTTTTTTCATCTTTTGTCTGCCTATTTTACGCGCATTAAATATGAAGCTATAAAACTGTTCAAGACTTTTTACTAAAATAGTCAAAGGGAGGAGAGTTAAATATTTTTTTACGCATTTCACAAATCATAAAATTGTATAGATGATACCTGATAATACATATCTTTCGATTTGCATCGTGGGATCGATTCGGTGGCAGTTTTAAATTAGTATATAATATACAACTTAATATACATCGACGATATACATTTTTTATTATTGTTTTCAAATGGCATTGAAAACGAATACGGTGATTTACTGAAAGTTTTGATGAAGGAGTTTGCTAATAAATGATTGAAATTCAAAAAAAGCGTTAATTTTTCTAAATGGAAGCTTAGTGACCTTTGCTTTTTTTTTAAATTATCCAAAAACTATTTAGGTTTTAGTAATTTAAATTAAAAAAAAAATATTAGAAAAGGTTATGTACGTTTGGAACGAAATAGTGTCAAGTTATAATTCCTCCTCAAAAATTGTGTTGGATGATAATGGACATTTACCAATACCAAAAGATCCAATCATTGCTTCATTATCATTGCGCTTATGAAATTCAAAAAATTTAGCATTTTAAATCTAGTATAAGTAGGAACATATTTATCACTATGACTAATATCAATAAATTAAAAGATTTTTTGTTTCTTCTAAGGTCCGATACTTTTTTATGCAAAGAAATACATTGATTAAACTTGAGATGTAATATTTTCATAACAATGGTCACCAATGAAGGGAATGGATATGGTTTTCTTGATTTCTTCAAGTATCTCAAAACCACCCCGAACAATTTTGGAACATGCTTAAAAAAGATACTTCTATCATTTGGATCTTTGCATTTTGAAGGTTCTTTAACAACATACCCTTTAAGATATAATGTTGATATTGGAGAAACATCTGAACAATATCCTGCAGCAAAATAGTTTGAGCAAACCTTTGTAGACAAGGTCATTTTAAAACTACCATGTCTAACATTTAACATTTTCTCATATAATTTCATGTGTTGAAATGAAATTATTATATTATAAGATATAATATATATATTATAATATAATAATTATATCATATAATAAATATATATATATGTATATATATATATATATATATATATATATATATATATATATATATATATATATATATATATATATATATATATATGTATATATATGTATATGTATATATGTATATGTATATATATATATGTATATATATATATATATATATATATATATATATATATATATATATATATATATATATATATATATATATATATATATATATAGGTATATATATATATATATAGATATATATATATATATATATATATATATATATATATATATATATATATATATATATATATATATATATATATATGTAGGCATAAATACATACATTTACACAGTCTTTGTCTCGGACGCATATATATGGTTTATAATATGTGTATGTATGCTTGTATTTAATAAAGTGGTTACTTTTCGGGTTTATTTCGATTATTTGCACAACCATATACAGCACAGTGACCATTTCTATCCATTTCACAACTGTATTAAACAAATCTTTAATTAAAAATAACTAACTTTTGTTAAGAATCTCGAAGTCTTTGTATTTCTTACTTTTAAATCCCCAAACATTTACCAGAATTCTTCGCGCGCTTAGCGTTTTTAGAGTTATCAAATATCGTCTATTCTCTTTATGACCATACTCAAATGCACATACTGTAAATTACGGGTGATTTTTCACTCAATATAAAAACAACAATTAACGTCACGAGTTAAACCACACAAAAACAGTATTCCCGTGTAATGAAATTGATTTACTTAAAAATTGTAGTTTGTTTTTTTACCTATAAAGGTTTTTATCTTCAAATAAACAAAAAAGTTTAAAACCTGTTTAATCTGAAAACTGTAGATTTTTATATTTTAAAACAACAAAATATAGTCTGTTTTAAAATCTACAAAACGCACTTGTCATTAGATAATTAAAAAGAGCATTGAAAACATTGCACTAGAAAAAATCTGACTGATAGAAAAAATTTTTGGTTTTAATTTTTTTAAAGATTAGACTTATATCTACTTTAGGAACCAATTTTGTTTTGGCCTTATGCTTTGCTGAGGAGTTATTGATGTTTTGGTTTTTAAATTTTTCTAAAGAAATTTATAAAAGATAACCATTTTCATTTTGATATTGAACTAAATACAACTATATTTGTTTTTAATCTATTTTTGAAAATATTTAATTTAATTAATTTAAAAAAATATATATATATATATATACATTTATATATATATATATATATATATATATATATATATATATATATATATATATATATATATATATATATATATATATATACATATATAAATATATAAATATATATATGTATACATATATATATATATATATATATATTTATATATATATATATATATATATATATATATATATATATATATATATATATATATATATATATATATATATATACATATATAAATATATAAATATATATATGTATACATATATATATATATATATATTTATATATATATATATATATATATATATATATATATATATATATATATATATATATACATATATAAATATATAAATATATATATGTATACATATATATATATATATATATATATATATATATATATATATATATATATATATATATATATATATATATATATATATATATATATATATATATATATATATATATATATATATATATATATATATATATATATATATATATATATATATATACTATTGATTGTTTTATTGTAATAAAAAGGTAATTATCTCAAATATACATAATAATATCCAATAAATATTACCTTGTTAAGATAAATAACTAGCAACAATTGTATTTGGTTATAATCTACTTTCACCCTATTTTTGATAGATTATTAGTAGAGAATAGAAAAAAGTAGTAGATAATTAGACCTTAATAATGTGATTATTAAAACTAACAACTATTCGTTCAAGAAACATGTTCTTTAGAAATATAACTTTATTTTTATTTAAACGTATTGTTTGTGTTCAAATGGTGTACTTTGCTCATTAGAAATATTTTATTTAAAATTTCTTGTATTTAAGTGTTTAGATTATAATGTTTCATTATACTTTCATTTGAATATATTATGGAGTATGTTATAAACAATCACAGTACACGCTTAAAAATAGTGTGGACAAAAAACACGACACTTAGTGTAGCGTTTTTTTGGCTACACAAATTGTGTACTTCAAGGCTACACTTGTGCGCTTTAAAGCCACACTTGTAATTATGAAATTAAACTTTATTATATGCGTAAAAAAAGCCACACTTAGTGTTGCACTTTGTTGGATTCTCGTATCGAATTATTTGGAAAGGAGGCTAGAATCATGTTTTTAGCGACATGTTTTTTTTTATGAACCATTTTCAGTTTTACTGAAAATTTTAGTGTAACTTTTATTGCTGCATGGTAATTTTAAACACATACATAGTTAACTTTTTCATAAAAAAATATTTGGTTTGTAATATTTTAGTAATATCGTATTAAATATGTTAAGCGAGGAAAATATCGATTTTCAGATGTTAAAAATTAGGTAAGACCTTCGGTTTGTAGTACATTACTACAACAACAACAACAACAACAAAAAGCAATATATTTACCAAGAATATAGATGTTTTACAATAAGCATGTTATAAAATACAAATAAAAAAAAGTATATGTATAGCCTATATTCTGGATGGTTCACTCTCATATAGCCTGGCTAAAACGAGGAAAGCGACCATGAGCAAAACAAAAACGAAAGAAAAACAAGACATAAAAAAAAAAAAAAACAAAAAAAAGCAAACAAGCTAGCTAATACATTCACATAAGGCTGCTTTTATTTAACATTCATATTTATATCATATCTCTTATAACTTCTATTGCCAAAAATCTTTTATCACCAACGATTCAATTACTGTTTTAAATTATCTTGATGTATCAGGTAGTATTTTAATTTAGTTTTGAGAGTATATTTTTTAATATTGCAAAAAGGGATTGTTTTTAATTTATTTTGAAGTTGATTCCAGTTCATTATTGCAGAGTAGTTAAAGGATTGTTTACCATAGGATTTTGTATTATATGTTTGCACACTCAGTGCACTGCTACAAGAATTTCTTGTAAATCGGCTGCTAATTGCACTGCGTTGAGTAAACCATTCATCAAATATAGGAGGCAGTTTTTTATTAAGGCAGCTGTGAATAAATAAGCAGTTTTCAATTTTAATTAAATCATGTACTTTTAAGATATGTAATGTGTTAAAAGATGTTGATGTATGTGAATTTTTTGGAAGAAATTCAATAATTCTGACTGCTTTTTTCTGCATGATAAATAGGCGATTAATAATACTCATATTTTGACTCCATGATAAAAGGCAATATGTGAGGTGAGAGTGAAATAAAGCATGGTAAATAGATTTTAAAGTTTTTTGTTGAATGAAATGTTTTAGCTTTGATAGAATGGCAAGGGATCTATTTAACTTATTAGAGATATCGTTATAATGATAAGCCCAGTTTAAGTTTTCGTCTAGCTTTATACCCAAGTAGTTAACAAATTTTTTACAACAAAGATTTTTCCCATTTAATTTAACTTTAATCTGTTGGTCTAATTTTTTGTGGGGACTATAATATTAATAATATTAAATCAGTTTTTTTGGAGTTGAGGGAAATTTTGTTTGCATTAAGCCAATTGCATAGTTTCTTAAGGTCATAGTTAACATATTTGTTGATTTTTTTTACAGATTTATTAAAGTAGAGAAGGTTTGTGTCATCTGCAAAGTGTTGGACTCGACAAAATTTTAATGCTTTAGACATGTCATTTATATAAATAAAAAACAGCAAAGGGCCAAGGACAGATCCCTGAGGAACACCTACTTTGATATCGTTTAAGTTTGAGTTCACT